CTAAAATTTTAATCAAATTCAAGTAAGCTGCAAACTGGAAAGGGGTAAACCCCAAAGGAAAATTATACAGAGGCAGAATCCCAATAAAACATGTAACCCAACTGAGAACGAAAAAGTCTTCAGAGCCTTTGTCTCTCTATTTAAGGAAAAACTGCCCAAGTGCCTTGATACAGGGAAGATCAGGCAGCATCTGTTCTGCCCTAACAGAGTCCACACCTGGGAACAAGGTTTTCCTAAGAGAATTTTGAGAATTCTCTAGCTTCCCACATTCTAAATTACAGAACTTCATAAAATCCATTTTCTCTCACATACACACTCTCTCTTTCTCCCTCCCTCTCTCTGAATCTTTCTGTGTAATGACACCACAGTAAAAATCTGGATAAATCTGATTGTTTTGTCCCAAACAGAGATAAATATGGAAAGAAAGATCACTCGTCTGTAGACCTGCACTATTTTTCTGACAATAACGTTCACTCCATTAAGTAATCCCCAAGGCCACAGAGTTGATTCTGACTCACAGCGACTCTCACAGGGTTTCTAAAGCTGTAAAGTAGATTTACCCATCTTCCTCCTACAGAGCAGCTGGTGGGTTTGAACTGCTGACCTTCTGGTTAGCAGCCAAAGGCCTTGCCCACTGCATCACCAGAGCTCCTTCCATTAATTAACAGTAAAATGCATTTCCCCATAGGAGCTTAAAGTATTTATGGCATAGTAACTACAGTACAGTTATAGGCAAAAGGAACTTTGGTGGCACAAAGGTTAAGTGCCTGGCTGCTAATCAAAAGGTTGGTGGTTTAAACTTACCAAGCAGCTCCACAGGAGAAAGATCTAGGGGACTGCAGCCAACAGTCCTATGGGATAGTTCTTCTCTGTCACAGGGGGTCGCCACCAGTCAGAACAACTTGACAGCCCCTACAACAACGTTGTTGTTGTTGTTGTTATGTGCCGTCGAGTCGGACCCGACTCACAGCGACCCCTTCTTGGGTTGCCGAGGCAGTATCACTACGCAAGTAGATTGCCCAACCTTCCTTATGAGGAGTGGCTGGTGGGTTTGAACCGCCAGCCTTCTGGTTAGCAGTCAAGTGCCTTAGGCACTATGGTACCAGAGCTCCTACAACAACAACAGCATAGTTAAATATTAATCCAAATGAGTGCTGGAAAGTGAATATCCCAAAATTCTTTTTGGAACTCCTCTTTTGAAAATGTCTTTAGACGTTTTCCACAAATTAGATACCTTACCAAGCTTTATGGTAACAGGTTACTATGGAGCTCATGGTAAAATAAAATACCTCCAAATCAACCATTAATGACTGATGAATGAGTTAATGAATTAACAAATATATTTATAAATGCTTACTACATGCAGGTACATTACAGATCATGGACACACACCATGGACAAAACAATTACATTGCCTTCATGATAAACAGGAATCACTTGAATATTGTAAATTGCATTTTCAGAAATGATTAAAAGCCATATGGCACCATAAAGGCTTTAGTCAAAACAGTGCCCTAAAAGAAAGGACTATGTTTATTGTAAAGATGATAAATTTGCTTTGTAGGCAGGAATTTTAAATGTTTTTAAAAATAAGAGTGTCACTAATATAGAATCAGATAAATTTGCAACATGACTTCTTTAAAGAACAATTTCAATTTGACATATAAATTCACTGCTATTCCCCTTCATTTTGTGAATGAGGAAATAAAGGCCTACAGAGGCTGAGCAACCTCCTAAGGTTACACAACTATTTTGTGTCAGACTTCCCAGAGGCACGTCTACTTAGTTCAATACTATTTTAAGGAAATACAACTTTTTCCCAAGGAAAATTACTTCAATCTAAACATTTCAAATACTATACAACCTTCGACCTCAGTGAGGTTTAAGACACAGCCATAAATTTTCAAAGTATGAAACTGAAGCAAAAAGAAGTTAAAATATTTTTCTACTAAGTGGAAGAAAATACAAGATTTGATCAATTGTGCACTGTCCTTTTATGCAGTCCTCCAACAGCTCTTTTCTACTTGTTCCTACTCTTCTCTCATTATTTAAAAAAAAAAAATGTTTTATTTTCTTCAACTACTACAATTATTATAGGAGTCCATGAGTGGTATAAATGGTTAAGCATTAGACTATTAGTCTGACAGTTCGAACCCACTCAGAGGCACCTAGGAAGGCAGGTCTGTTGACCTGCTTTTAAAAGGTCACAACCTGAAAACCCTATGGAACAGTTCTACTCTGCACACATGGAGTCACCATGAGTTGGAACCAACAGCAACTAACAGCTATACCCAGTAAGGTCACCACACCTCCAAAATCAAGGACACTCTTATGGCCTTTTGAATTTTGGATTAAATTAACTACAAAGTCTTTTTTTAGCTTTAAAATTACATTACCTTTGGTGTTTAAATTGCCCTAGAATTCAATTAAACAAATATTTAGGAAGCACTTACAAAGCGTACCCATCACTATGCTAAATTAGCGTATCTAGAGAGCTAGAAAGATTATTTCACTTGGGCAAAGCACTCACACTGTATGGGTCTAGATAGATAATCTTCAAATTGTACTTAAAGGTTTCCATAAATATTTGATGATTTGACTATTGGCCCCAGGAGGAGAGAAGCCAAAGCATCTGAGCAAGGCGCACCTGCCCCACCCAACCCTTCAAAGCTTAACCTCAAAGTGGACTTCCTGCTTTAAAAAAAGTTTGAAATATACTCACAAAATCTAAGGACTACTCTTAAAATTCTGTAATAATTTGTTATTGTTTTAAATCCATATTTAATCACTGATTTTTATGTCAGCCATGTGAAGAAGCAGACTCTCCCTATGAAATTAACGTTGTTAGCTAGTTACCCTTGAGTTAATTCCAACTCTGTATTGTATGTATTACACTGAGTACATATTTTGGGTTTCTTTGTGGAATAACTACTACTGTATAACTATTTAATCTAGTTCTGTAAAATACTCCTGAAATTTCTCTTAGGCAATACTTAGTTTGTCTACTTTTGAGATACTTCTTCTTACAATAGAAACAACTTGGCTTCCTGTCGTCTTTCTCCCATGACTTTAATACAGGAACTATTCTATTTGTTCTCACTCAAATACAATAGCTGCCAAAACTTTTACACCCTCTCCTTAGCATTTGGCTTCATTTCTTAAATGTACAGAGAAGACTGAGGCTTTCTAAAAGGAGCACACCAATTTCCCCCTACCTCTTCTTAACATTTCTCTGCAAATCTCTCCTCCCCTGGATTAACTTTTACTATTAGTCCCAAACCCCCATCTGCCTTGATCCCTCGATTACTTTCCCTATTATCTGATATACACACACTTCCACAAAATAATTTAAGTATCTTTTCAGTCTTAGACTTCCCAAACTTCACCAATTCTTAATTATATAGTGGATGGTCCTTAGTTTATGGTGCAATGTCTTTAATTTTCACTGGGTGACAGTTTAAGGAAGAAGCTTTATGGAAACTATTGCTATATTTTTATTGTAAGTAAGTTATAAAGGATATTGCCAGGTACATTAACTTCTATTCCCTCTAAATGAAGCCACATGAGAAATTTCTCTCCTACTGAATGCCCCAAAAGTTTAGCTTTTCCTGATGACCTAGGTTTTTATCTTGTGTTCAATTAAAAAAAAAAACCGTACCTCATCACATTTTTTTTTTCTTCCTTGCTCTGGCCACTAGGAAGCTCAAGGTCAAATCTGTATGTCAATTTTAATGTGATGATCTCACTCATTCACAGCCTATTAACTTCATGTATTTTCAGTGGTTTTATTTACTTTTTCAACTTTTTATTGTGATTTGGGTAAAAGTTTACAGTCAGTGGTTTTAATTTTTAAATTAATTTTTTCCCCAATTTGTGATTACACATTTCTGTAAATTGCTTCAGAGTCCTCATGACACAAAACAGAGTATGAATAAATACATTGTGTGATTTCTAAAATTCACTACATGATGTTTGTACTTAAGAGCCTTGAAAAATTAAACAAAATATCCTTTTCCTATAAAAAGTCTTATATGACACAGTTAAGTACTTGCCAAAAAGTTGACAGTTCAAACCCACCCAGAGGCACCTAGGAAGAAGACCTGGCATGCTGCTTCCAAAAGGCAACAGCCTTAAAACCCTATGGAGAAGTTCCACTCTGCACATACAGGGTAACCATGAGTCGGAATCAACTTGACAACAAACAACATTAAAAAAAAAAAAAAAACACCACAAAGGAGAGTGGCTAATTAAATCAGCCAGATACTTATTCTACTAGGATTCCTCTGATTTTATTTATATTTGTATACATTATGAATCCATTATCTGAAACAGTCTATTTGCTATTACATCAATGAAATGAATGAAAAGCAAGATGCAACACTAAATCAGAAGTACTTTTCATTCTTCCAGTATACTGGCATTTTCTTTCTTTTCACTTAGATGGTTTGTTTCCTCTTGAACACGTACTTATGTGATGACTATATAAAAAATTTTTTTAAACTATAGAAGTAATTATCAGTAAAAGCTGTGGGATACTGGCCATGGCTACAAAGGAAAGTCATAAACCCCCTCTGAGTTTAAATGCAAGTCCTACTAGAATATATACCTAAGAAGCCAATTCCCATTCATAAATGCTTTTTCATGACAGCAGATAACTAGCTTTATGGGAGGTCATTCTTTCAACATATTTACTATATGCTGCATGATAAGTATATATGATTTTTAAAGTACGTTATAGAAACATGGAGTTTCCTTAGGGGCAGGAAGGTATGTTGTAAGGAAGACATGAGCACCTACTGCCTGCTCTGTTATATGACAAACAGATTGTGTCAAGTATTTCATTGCAGTCTCTCATTTAATTGTCATCAAAAGACACAGATCTGAAAGCCCTAACACACGTTTAGGAACTAGGCAAGCTTAATCATTTTGAAGGAGAGTGCTTCAAAAAGTAAGATATCCAACCTTTCACAAATAGACATTCTCGTAAGTTTAATTCCCACCTGATATATTCTAAAAGGGATGTAACGAAATCCATTTTCTTCTGCGGGGTATTCCATGAGTTTCCGATTGATGGCCCAAAACTGGTCAAATCTGTCTGTAATGACAATAATTTATTAAAAATGAGAAGATTATAATGTAATACCTCACATAAAGAGATGAAACCCGTTAAGTTTTTAAAATGTATAAATTTTTTAAAAAGTAAACAAACATAAAGCTAGATATTTCTACATTATTCCTTCCTGTTCCTAGATATCCACATAGATATATGCTAAATCACGTTACCAAGGCAAAAAGCACCAGGTTGGGATGATGCCTTGATTCCCCTGGTCCTGTTTAAACTATAAAGGCCCAGCTTCAAGTGATCCAAATTTTATCCACAACTTGTTTAAAGAAACAAAGTCAAAATATTGAACACTGTAAACAATGAACATCAAAGAAGATAATCTTACAGGAAAGGCTTTGAAAAAAATGAAATTTACAGTTACAGTCAATTGCAGTTTAATCTCAAGGTGATTAAACACCTTTTTATTTTTCAGGATCACTTAAAAAATTTACATGTCATAAAATTCATCCTTTTGAAGTATAAAATTGCGTTTTTTGTATATTCACAGAATTAAGCAATCATCACTAATTTTAGAACATTTCATCATCCATAAAAGAATCCCCATACCTATTAACAGTTACTTTCTATTCTCCCCTTCCCCAGCCTCTGGCAATCACCAATCTACTTTATGGATTTGACTACTCTTGACATTTCATACAAATGGAGTATGTGGTCTTCTGCACCTCATTTTTCTCAACGTTTAAAGTAACGTTGGCAAAATTCATGCATGTTGTGTAGCATGTATCAGTACTTCATTCATTATTATGGTCTAATAATATTCCATTGTATGGAATATGCAATATTGTTTATCCATTTATCAACTCAGGGCATTTGGGTGGTTTCCACTTTTTTGGCTTTTATGCATAATGTTGTTATTCATATACAAGTTGCTGTCTGAATGTATGTTTTCAGTTCCCTTAAGTATATACTTAGGATTGGAATTGCAGGGTATTTCAGTTACCTAGTGCTGCTCTGACAGGAATATACAACAAATGGGAATGGCCTGAACAAACAAGTTTATTCTCTTACAATAGAGGCTGGGTGAAAGCCCCCCAACTTTGGGCTTCAGCTCTGCCTCCTGTTCCTGGGCCACTGAAGCTAGAGGCTTTTCTTCATTCGGCAGCTGCTAGCTGCCGAGGCTGAAAAACCCAAGGTCAACAAGTAAAAAGGCACAGTCCTGGTATTACCAAATATGGCAGGCCACTAATTCAAGTCCAGAAAAAGTCCCGACATCGGCAGGGCATGGCAGGCTGCTGAAGAACGACTTGGCTACATGCAGGGTACAAGCGTGCCAAAAAGTTAGAGACCTTCCTCGAAGTTGTTTCTTACATACTGGAAGCAGACCACATCCCTAAATCAGCTATTCAGCTGCTCCAGTAGATTACACCATGGAATTGATTGCCAGTCTCATCACGGGGAATAACTACATTCAGTTGCCTAGCCAATCAACCAAGCCTAGCCAAGTTATATGGTAACAAGCAGGGTTATATGGTAACTCCTTCTTTAACCTTCTGAGAAACTGCTAGATTTGTTTTCCAAAGATTGGCTGCACTATTTCACATTCCCACTAAAAATGGAAGAGGGTTCCAATTAATCCACATCCTTCCATTTTATTTGACAGCAGCCATCTTATTGGTGTGAGTGGTATTTCATTGTGGCCTGGATTTCTATTTCCCCCATGACAAATTATGTTGAACATTTTTTCATGTATTCATTGGCCACTTGCAAATCTTCTTTGGAAAAGTGTCTATTCAAGTTATTTATCCACCTTTAATTGGGCTGGTTGGTTTTTATTGTTCAGTTTTATTGTTGTTAGGTGCCATCGGTTGGCTTCAACTCATAGCAGCCCTATGTACAACAGAACGAAACACTGCCTGGTCCTGGGCCAGCCTCACAATCCTTGATATACCTGATCCCATCATTACAGCCACCATGTCAATCCCCATCTCGTTGAGGACCTTCCCCTTCTTTGTTGCCCCTCCATTTTACCAAGCATAATATTTTTCTACAGGGAATGGTCCCTTCTGACAACGTGACCAAAGTAGGTGAAATGAAGTCTGGTGATTCTTTCTTTCAAAGAGCATTCTGGCTGTACTTCTTCCAGGATGGATTTGTTTGTTCTTTTGGCAGTCCATGATACTTCTAGTATTCTTTGCCAACATCACAACTCAAAGTAATCAATTCTTCTTCGGTCTTCCTTGTTCACTCTCTAGCTCTCACATGCAAATGAGGTGAATGAAAATACAATGGCTTGGATCAGGTGCACCTTAGTCTTCAAGGAGACAGCTTTGCTCTTCAGCACTTTAAAAAGTTGTAAGAGGTGTTTATATGTTCTGGATACTAAAACCTCACCAGATACATGATTTCCGAATATCTACATCCATTCTGTAGGCTGTCTTTTCATTTTCTTAATAATGTCCTTTGATGCACAACATTTTTTTAAACTATGCTCAATTCATCAATTTTTTTCTTCTGTTGCTAATGCTTCTGGTGGCATATCTAAGACTTTATTATCAATCACAAAGTCCTGAAAATTTATGTTTTTTTCTAAGTTTTATGGCTTTAGTGTACATTTAGGTTCTTGATTCATTTAGAGTTATAATTAAATAAGGCGCACCTTCTATGTTTTTTGCCAACCACACCCTCCTCCCCTTGTGTAGTATTTTCATAAGTATGCTCTGCTAATTTTTATAGCAACGTATCTGCATAAAATGTACTTGCATAAAAATATAGTAATTATTTTTAATATAGTGTGAGGTAGGGTTCCAACATCATTCTTTTGCTGTGAAAATCTAGATGTTCCAACACAATTTGTTAGACTATTCTTTCCCCCACTGAACAGACTTGGTACTACTGTTAAAAACAACTGGCCACAGATGAATGGGTTTATTTCTGGAATCTCCATTCTATCCATTAGTCACACAGTCTTGACTGCTGTCATTCTGGGAAGTGTGCATCCTCCAACTTTACTTTTCTTTTTAAAGAATGTTGGAGCTATTTGGGGTTCCCTGTAATTTCTTATGAATTTGAAGGCCAGTTTTTTCATTTCTGCAAAAAGGGCTATTTGAATTTTGATAGAGATTAAGCTGAATGTGTACATCACTTTCGGTAGTAGTGACAATTGTACAAAATCAGGTTTTCCAATCTACGTGTACACCTTTCCACTTATTTAGGTCTCCCCTCCCCCCACCAATGTTTCATAGTTTTCAGTGTACAAGTCTTCTACCTTCTTGGTTAAGTTTTCCCTAGGCATTTTATTCTTTTAGATGTGATTATAATTAGAATTGCTTTCTTAGTTTCCTTTTTGGACTGCTCAATGCCTGGGGAAAATAGTGAACTTCTCTACTAATCCAGTGGGCTGAATGATACCTTCTCCAACAAGGACTGAGCACCAGTCTTGGAGAAGGACCCCTGTCTGACTTTGTCTTTCCCTTGAATGTTTTCCCTCAGCCATTGGGTATTAGATATTTTTTTGTATCTTACAGTCACACTGTCATCAGGGTTAAATAATTCTTTATATAAAACTTACCCTGTTTAAACCACTGTGGGTTTTTAATCTCCTGATGTACCCAGACTGGTAAAACTATGTTTAAAAATAAACATATAATAAAAGATTTGTATGAATTAATATTAATTTTTAATCTTCTTATAAAAATATGTTCTTATATAAAACAGGTATTTTCTCTGCCATATTAAAACTACTCTCCCAAGAATAACATGACTTTAAATGGTCAAAGCTATTAATAAAAAAGACACAAATAGAAGGAAACCCAAGGAGGGGTTGCTATGAGCCGGGGCTGACTCGACGGCACATAACAACAACAAATGAATTTAGAAATTGAGCATATAAGTAAGTATCTTTTGTAGTGAATTATCCATTACTTTGTACTATCAGTGTCTCTTTTATTCTGGAACCAATAATTAAAGTAAATGAAATTGGAGCAAGGATACATTATTCATCCCAAATACTAAAGAACTAAAAAGAAATACTCTGAATATCAGAACTATGCCATTAGTTCTTATAACTGAGTCATAAAGTCAGTTATTTATTTTATCGGCCATCAGCAACCATATCTGTAACCTGTAACAGAAGCATAGTAGTCTTTGGCGATTCATTTCTTAAACTGTAACTGAATGTAAATGAGTATCAGTTTCAACAACTTTTCAAATTCATTTAATTCTAAATCTACAACCAAACAAAATAAACTAAGTGAAAGAAAATTAACTTAGCAGTTACTCAGCTTAATCATATATGAGTAAGAAAGACAACTTATAAACTTCTTCCCTACAGAAACATTCAATCATTCAATCTTTATTTTATTTTTTAAATACAGTAAAAATACAAGTTTCTTAAAATCCTGCTGGCCATCAATATTTTCTCTCTTCACTGAATTAAGTTTTTACACGGTTTTGCAACTAACACAAACATTCCATTCTTCCCCCAAAAAAGTTTTTTTTTTTTTAATCTCAGGTTTCCCTAAGATGCTTAAGAAATAAATCAAACTTGTATTCTTTGCTCCTCACATGGAAAAACCGCAGAAAAAAGTGGCAACTTTGAAGGACTTATGTTTTCTTCTACTTAAGCTTCACCAGAGTAATGAACTCAAGGCAAAATAATTTTTAGCATTCTTATGCCACAGATGTCTCTATGTCTAAAATCTCCCTCAGGAGACATGCAGGAGATTTAGGACTATGATTCTTGGGTCAAGGCAATGTGGTACTGTTGGCTGGGACCCTCAAACTACAGCAAAGGGTGAGATGGGCTTCACATGCACACACTATCTACTTCTTGATCTTCAACATCCACCATGATGCCAAACAGAGCAGTTACAGCACCCCAAATAAGCATCAGATTATGACACGCAGACTAAACTTTCTTTGAAAGAAAAAAGCAAACAGTGAAAATCACTAATAACAGGAGCCCACTCTAAAAATATTTATTAACAGTAGTGCCTACGGCACTTGACTGCTAACCAGAAGGCTGGCGATTC